TCCTGCTGCATAATTAATTTATTCTGTTTCTCAATTAAGATTTTAAGACTCCGAATCGTCTAGTCTTTAATTTTGAGGTTACTCACAGAGAACTTGAGAAAACACTTCCCATCTGACCCCAAAACTATGCATTTTATTTTTAAGAACTGTTAAAGTAATTGGTAATTCTCAGTCTAAAGTATTTTTCTGAGATACTTAACAATAAAGTTACTAGGAATAACATGAAAAAAGTATATTTTCTTTTTCTTTTTTTTTTTGAAAAAAAGTATATTTTCCATGTAACTTGCCAGTATGGCATAGTGAGAGTAAGCATGGTATTGAGCACCCATGGGCTTTGGAGTCAAACAGACCTGGAGAACCTTGAGCCATCCATTTATTAGTAAGTGCCTATTTCCCTATATCCTTACCAATATAGATTTCTGGATTTTTTTCAGTTTTCTGTTTCACAGGTGAAAAAAAACCCCAGTATCTTAGTATAGTTTTAGTTAAAACTCCTTCTAACATGAATGAGGTTGAGATCCTTTTCATATCTGTAAATGCAATTTCCTGTTCTCCAAACTATGAAGGTACTTTTCTTGTCTATTAAAAATGGACAGGGACTTCCCTGGTGGCACAGTGGTTAAGAATCTGCCTGCCAATGCAGGGGACATGGGTCCGAGCCCTGGTTCAGGAAGATCCCACATGCCGCGGAGCAACCAAGCCCGTGCACCACAACCACTGAGCCTGCGAGCCACAACTACTGAAGCCTGCGTGCCTAGAGCCCGTGCTCCTCAGCAAGAGAAGCCACCGCCATGAGAAGCCCACGCACCGCAATGAAGAGTAGCCCCCGCTCGCCGCAACTAGCGAAAGCCTGTGTGCAGCAACAAAGACCTAACACAGCCAAAAAATAAAAATAAAAAAAAAAAAAGGACAGACCTCAGGAAAGCTATTTACCATTTTACATGGGCATCATCTTCAGACACCTCACATTCTAATTCCACTCTGTCCCCACAGTACGCTCTTGTATCTTCCAGCTGTTTGGTCACTATAACTGGAGGCTCTAGTGTGAAAAAAAGGAAAATCAGAATCATTAAATGTCCAAAAACCTGCCTTGTGACCCTGGGTTTGTTCACAGATGAAAAACCAACAATAAGAAAGTATCATCCATCATAGAGCCATGGTTAGATGGTGGTAGGTAGTAGGTAGGTTTTTTATGATTTTTTCATGGCAAAATAAATAGCTGGCAACCCTGGGTAAGTTTTTCCAATTTTCTAAGAACTCTTCAAATCAAATAAATTATTGTTTTAGAGAGCAGACACATCGTATCAGATATCCTTCTTTTGGCAAATAAGATACCAGATGGTAGGCATTTCTGGGGAAGGAGAACCTATAACACTAAAATTCTCTACTTCTGGTTCTAGACGGATGATAGAGATTGCAGAATTGTCTTTTTAAAAAAAATTTTAATTGAAGTATAGTTGATGTTCAAGATTACAGAGCTGCCTTAATCATAGGTCCTCATAAAGAAAATAAGTGATTCATGGCTTCATTGACACCCTCCAGCTCTTTCACAATGTCTTAGTAAATGATGGTCTTCAGCGATCTCAGTGCCAACGATTGATGCCCTTTACTAATGAAGCTGTTTCAAGAGAAATCTATTTGTGATCAGCTGAGTGCGTGAAATGGTTATCCAGTAGACTTTATTGGGTTTCAGAAGTTACCACGAGAACAATTATATGGCAAAACGCTGCTTGCTTGAGCCAAAACTACAAGGCATTTTTACTCAGCAGCTTTTTTCTCCCTCTGGCTTTTCTAGTCTTCAACGAACCTGAAGATTAATTAGGATACACAATAACTGCCAGTACAGAGAGGCTTTAATCCAGAGCCAATCTAACACCCAAGATAAACCATCTCTAGAGGTACTACCGTCTCTGCTCTGGAGCTCAAAAGCTCACTTCCTCATTTCCATTTTGATTATCCCTGAGAGAAGGAGAGCTGTTGGCTCTTAACGGCTACAGTAAGAAATTTCACTTTACCTCTCACAAAGAGCTCAGTGGAGCATTTCTCATCACCAGCTGTCACATAATACTCTGAATCATCTGTTAGCACACAGTTATTGATAAACATGATTCTTTCACATCCTTTATGTTCAAAGATGTATCTGTTTTAAACAGAAGGAAGATAAACAGAGTCTGTGAACTTGATTTTATTCTTTTCTTTATTGCCAGCAAATTTGGCTTATAATTCAGTAATATTTGAAAGTCAGAAATAGTAATTTTGATCTGAAATTTATGCAGCCATGTCTTACATAGTTTAATAAACATCAAACATGAAACCAATTTCTATCTTTATAACATGCAATGTAAACATATGCATATTTACACATAATATTTAATGTGTCATTTTCTTTTATGTATGTTTTTCATTTCAAATCTAAATCAGTACTCACATATTTGCCAATGAACCTATTGTTGGAAAATAGGGTTGGCTAAGATTTTTAACTCTGTACATTTTAAAAAAATGAGCAATTCATCTACTTTATTGAGGGACAGAGACAATCTTTTTCATTGATTCATTGATTTCACTCCTTGCTGGCCCAGTGAGACAGATTTTACTGGGTGAATAAATGATTATACAATTTAAGCAATAATATGAACTTAATCATTAACATAGATGGTAAATTCTATAGAATGTGATATTCTCTTAAATGAGCTTAAGAACTAGTGTTATCATATCATAGATATCATCTACTAAGAAAGAAGTTGACTGTTTGGAAACAAAAACCTGAAATGTAAGGAGATTGCAAAATTTGATTATCTGTGACCTAGATTATGGATGGATATATTAGGGCATCATAACAGACTAAAGAAAAAGTTCTCATTTGGGAAATTCTCAACTTGAAGATTTCAAGAACAAAACACTAAGAAACATTTTTCTAGATAAAGATAATCAAGTAAAATTATGTTTTTGGGGTTTCCCTGGTGGCACAGTGGTTGAGAGTCTGCCTGCCGATGCAGGGGACACAGGTTCATGCCCCGGTCCGGGAAGATCCCACATGCCGCGGAGCTGCTGGGCCCGTGAGCCGTGGCCGCTGGGCCTGCACGTCCGGAGCCTGTGCTCCGCAATGGGAGAGGCCACAGCGGGGAAAGGCCCGCGTACCACACACACACACAAAAATTATGTTTTTGGTAAATTCAGGCTGCCTTCAAGAGATTTTTACCAGATATAAACATTATTATCACAAAGTCACTCTGAGAGCATGACCACATTAAGAAATTGGAATCCACCTAACTGTACCACAGAAGTGACAGATATTCAGGATTAAAGTCTTTTATAAATATGCACGTGGCTCCCGTTAAGTGAAAAAATATATATTGGAGTTGAAAATCTCTCAGACTGAGAAGGATCTCTGTAAAGTAGTTTCATAATAGACTAGCGATACCATCAGGTATCAGGGATTAGCCTGTTTCCTTCATTTGGGAAAGGGCCAAAAAACAATAAAACACAGGCTTTAGATGCTACTCTGGGAAAACAAAAGTTATCTAATTATAAGGTGTGATTCCCAGCTGGTATATCAAATATAGATTTCAATTTTTTTCAAAATTTGATTTTAAAAAAACTGGGAGAAGTTTGGCAATGCTCTGAAGTAATCACATATAACCTACAGTGACACAAATCCATAGTTAGGAATCACTTGAAATAGTTTGTATAGAATTGAAACATAAAACAGGGTTTAATTTATAGAGTACTATAATTTTGATGGTTCCAAAATACAGGAAAAGTTTTTGCTGTCCCTCTATATGATTCTGTATCATCCCGGTATAACTAAAAAGTGCTTTTAGGCATAGAAAATTAAGTCGTATTACTCTTTGATTTGTATAGTTAGCACCGATTCTTCGCAAGTTCCACTTACTTTGTACTGGGTCGAATTTCTTGACCATTTTTATACCATTTCACCTCCAACTTTGGATCCGCCAGTTCCACAGCAAATCTTACCCTGCCTCCTTTATCAACCTGATATGCAGGATCGAGAATTTTTGCAAAAGCTGGAAGAGAGAAGAAGCAAAACTATGTTCACATGCATATGTTGTGAATTTGAATATAGTCAATATATGTATGAGAACCTAAAGCTAAATAAAAAATGGAGACTGAAGAAGAAAGAATTAGGAAACTTCCAAATTATCCCTTATGTTTTAGGAGTCTGAATCGATTTTTAAACAATAAGATGGTTTAAAAATGTAAAGAGAATCCACATGCTTTTGGAAGAAACATAAGAATTATTGAAGAGGCTTCAAAAATGATTATCTTCATTCTTCAGGGAATGTATGATATAAAGTATCCAAATGAAATTTGGACTTGAAGAACATGCTCATTCTACTCATATGATTATTAACAGGATCACTGGCATTATCTGTGTACATCTATGTCACAGTTTTTTATCATATAATTTATGAGATACTTTCGATGACTCGTGAGCTTAAATGGGATGCCTTTGACTGACTGAAATAGTAGGCTTATCCAAGTTTTTGTACTGTGGAAACTTGCCCAAATATTGGCATGTTTAAACGCTTGGGTAACCATATCGGGTGTGAGAAGTGAATTCCCCATGCCTCATCAAATGGGTGGAAGAATATAACAGTAAAACAAAGAAACATAGAATCTACTCTGCCTAAATAAGAATCAGGAATTCGAGAGTGAGGGAGAGACGCAGAGGCTGGAGAAAGGGGCCGCTGAGAAATTGCCAGTAACAGCGGGAATGTTTAATATCCCATTATATAATACATTGTATGTGTCACTGTAATGCACCTTCTGTTGCCTTAAACCTTCAGCAGCTGTCTGCCACCCGCTTAGCCTGTGATGTGCGGGGCAGTAAACGACTTCACCTGAAGTTAACCAAGAGAAGAGTAACCCCCGCACATTCCACCCCAACTAGTCCGTCCCCAAACCCAGCAAGAAATAGGAAGGGGCTTCCCTGGTGGCGCAGTGGCTGAGAGTCCACCTGCCGATGCAGGGGACGCGGGTTCGTGCCCTGGTCCGGGAAGATCCCGCATGCCGCGGAGCGGCTGGGCCCGTGAGCCATGGCCGCTGAGCCTGCGCGTCCGGAGCCCGTGCTCCGCAACGGGAGAGGCCACAGCAGTGAGAGGCCCGCGTACCGCAAAAAAAGAAATAGGAAGGATTAATCTCCCCCAGGGGTGCTCACCTGCGCTCTTCTTTTCCACTCTGCGCATGCGCTTGAGCCGCTTGAGCATCCCGCGCAGGTCAGTGATGCCGTACTGGAAGGCGATCTTCTCGTACTCGCTGGGTTTCGCATTCTTCAGCAGCTCCCACACGTCTATCTCAGGTTCTTCCTCCTGCTGTTTCACCTCCCTAACCGGGGAGAACCATTGCCTAGTTTAATAGCTGCCCACTGGCCCTTAAAGACAAGGAAGGTGGGAGTATGGCACCGATTTTTCGGGTCAGCGCTACAAGCTCTGTTTAAACCCTGAGTCCTTAAAGCCGAGGGGAAAGTGTACTTTGCCTGAAGTCTCAGGGAAACTTCCAGATAGTCAAAGATCAGATACGTGCACTTATATTAACGCTCTCGTTTTCCTAGTTAAAAACACAATATTAGGGGGAGAGGAGGATACCAGGAAATATCCCTAAGATATTTTTACTTATTTTCAACTTGCAAGTCTAAATAGGAGGTGAGAATTTAAGGAACTTAAAAGAAATGTTTTCATCTAGGATATCGATATTGAAATAAGGATTAAGAACTAGAAGATTTTAGGTGTTGGTCTGTGAAAGAACAATGCTCTCTTTCTACCTTCATTGGCGTGCATACCCTAGCTCTATATGGAGATGGTACAAACACAGTATTTCAAATCTTCGGATTTTGCAAATAGCATTTTCCCTACCATGTTAGTAAATGTGTACATTAACCATTTTTGCTGTTTGTTAATACAAAAACCATTTGAAACTGTGACTAAGCGTTTGTTTTTTGTTTTTGTTTTGGTTTGGTTGTTTTTCATATGATTTTTGTGTATACATATTCTTTTTAAGAGAGAACTATTTTTTTCTAAATTGTCAGAGTAAAAAAAGAGAATGAGATCCAGAAATCTTTCGTATTTCATCTTAAAGTATTGTCTTGAACTTTTTTGGAAGCAGGTTGGGTATGAATCATGAAAATATAAATGTGAAACTGTAAAGCAAGTCATTAAGTGTTCCATGAACAAGGTGAAAGTAATTTCTTAGTGTAATTATCAAAATTATGACTAAATTTTGATCACTGGCAAAAGAACATATAAAGAACATATATACTAATATATATACACACATATATATGATTTAAAGTACATACACTTGTCTGTATTTTAAAACCAAAAAATGAAACAAAACTCAGGAATAAACTCTTTTAGGGAAA